TGCTGTTTATTTCTAACTATTCTGTATTTGTTTTAATTATACATTTGTATTTAATCTGTATGTTACTATTGTAAGCCACCTTGAGCATACACTTTTAGTGAAAAAACAGGAAAGGATGTGTGAATCCAAGGTGCATCATGTATGTTTGTTCACATAGCAGAACAGGTTTTCTTTTATGTCCAAACTCTCATCACATTCCACAGCTTCCCTCAAAACTGAACTTCACTCACTCCAGCACAGCAGATTTTTAACTTCCTAGAAGGGCCTTTCCCACTCAATGTTCTCAAGATTTGTTTGACTACAACTCCTGCCATTTCCCAATCAGCAATGCCATGCTGGTTGGGGGATTACTATAGTTCAACTCAGCTCAAGAATGCAAAAGATGACAGAAATAGGGTCGGAATCCTGAGTACAACCATTCAGTTACTATCATACAGAGAAAAAAGGACTATTACAATGATCAGTGCAAAGGAATAGAAGAAAACAACAAACAAAAAAGGAAAAACAAGAGACTTCTTCCAGAAGATCCAAGAAATCAAAGGGAAAATTAAGCCTAGATTATGCTAACAAACAAACAAAGGAGATAAAGAGAATGTGAAAAGAATATACAGAAGAACTATACAGAAGAGAGGAAAGGATGACATACTTCTTTGAAGCAGAATCCTATGAAGAAGAGCCTGCAATATTAGAATGTGAAGTGAAAGCTTCCTTGAAAGCATTCAGAAGAAACAAAGTACTTGGAGTAGATAGGAGACCAATAAAAGTATTCCAATTAATAGTTGAAAATGAATCTGTCCAAATCCTAACAAAAATACATCAACAAATATGGAAAACAAAACAATGGTCCATAGACTGGAAATATCCAATATATATTACAATCCCCAAGAAAGGAGATGCAAAAGAGTGCAATCATAGGACCATTGCCTTATTCTCCCACACAGGCAAAGTGATGCTGAAAGTGTTGCAACAAAGACTATCCAATATGGAGACATCCAAGCTGGATTCTGAAAAGGAAAAGGCACTAGTGATCATATTGCAAATATGCATTGGCCCGTGGAGCTCACCAAAGAATTTCAGAAAAAGATCAGTCTAAGCTTCATGGACTACAGCAAAGCCCTTAAATGTGTGGATCACAAGAAGCTATGGAGGAGTCTGAAAAGAGTCTCAGCACTTGATCATCCTGATGCAGAACCTGTATCATGGACAAGAAGCTCCTGTTAGGACAGAGTATTGGGAAACAGAATAGTTTCCCATAGGCAAAGCTGTTCAGCAAGCATGTATTTTATCTCCCTGTCAGTTCATTCCATACACAGAGCATATAAGGAAAGCTGGATTACAACCAGAGAAAGGAATGGAACTGGTGGAAAAACACCATTAATTTAAGATATGCAGATGATACCATACTACTGGCAGAAAGCAAAAGCAAATTAAAACTCCTGATAAAAATGAAAAAAGAAAGTACAAAAGCAGGACTGTATCTAAATATTAAAAACAAAAATCATGTCCACAGAAGAATTTTAGAATGTCACCAGTCAATAATAAAGAAATCATGAATTATGAAACATTTCACATATCTCAGCTGAGACATCATTCAAAGGGAACCTCCAACCAAGAAATTAGAACAAAAAAGAGACTTGGAAGCACAGCAACGAAGGAACTAGAAAAGATCAACAAGTGCAAGGGCATTTTACTGGAGACCAAGGTCAAGATAATTCAAACAATTGTATTTCCAATTATAATAAACGGCTTTGAAACTGGGCAGTGAAGAAAGCTGACAGGAAGACAACTGATGTGTTGGAAAGATGGTGCTAGACGGGAACTTTATAAATGCCTTGTACTGATGGAAAGACAAACAAGTGGGTTCTAGGTCAAATCAAGCTAGAGGTTTCCCTAGAAGAAAGCATGACAAAACTGAGGCTGACATACTTTGAACACTTCATAAGAAAGTAAGACTCACTGGAGAAAACAATTATGTTAGGGAAAGTCAAAGGCAGAAGATGAAGGGGAAGATCGAGTATAAGATGGGCTTAATCCATAAACAAAGCCACAACCTTGAACTTGGAAGGGCTAAATGGAGCTGTCATGGACATTTTGGAGAGCTTTTATTTGTAAGGTAAAGGTAAAGGTTTCCCCTTGACATTAAGTCCAGTCATGTCTGACTCTAGGGGGCAGTGCTCATCTCCATTTCCTAGCCGAGGGAGCCAGCGTTTTTCTGCAGACAGTCTCCGTGGTCATGTGGCCAGCATGATGAAACACCGAGGTGCACGGAACACTGTTACCTGCCCACCGAAGTGGCACCTATTTATCTACTTGCATTTGCATGCTTTCGAACTGCAAGGTTGGCAGGAGCTGGGACGGAGCAACAGGGACTCACCCCGTTGTGCAATTTGAACCAGTGACCTTTCAGTCAACCAGCCAAGCAGCACAGCAGTTTAAACCACTGAGATAGGGTTGCCATAAGTCAGAAATGGCTTGACGGCACATAAAACAACAGAGGATGCAAGGTAAAACACTGGTCTAGAATGTTGCTGAACCACCAAGGCAGCTCAAATGTTCTTAATGTATTTTAAAAATAAAGCAGTGTTTGGTAGCTCTGACAGATGGGTAAAGATTAATGAATCCACACAGGATGTAGGGATAACATTTACTTTCCTTGGTGATTTTTTGCAGCCCAGCATCTTCTTGGGCCATGGCTTACTGACATATTTTAGTTAAGGCCAAAAGAACATTTTATCAGCTCCATGTTTTTCATCGCCTGCTAACAGATCTGGAGCACTGAATTTGCAGAGCATCATCTAGACTTTTGTGGCCTATGAGCTTGATTACTGCAAGTTCATGCATTATGTGGCTTTTCTTGAAGTGTTCATAGGAGTCAACCAATGGAGAAGGTATTTCCTTGCATAAGGTAACCTAGTAGGATGGCATCTTACTAAACTAGCTACCAGTTGGCTCCCAAGCCTCTGAAGAAATGCCAGGTAAACAACAGCTGTGCTGATGTAATGTTGAATATTTCCTGTGGCCTCTGTGAGGCTACAGTGTGTTTGTGTAAGCCTGAGGCCTAGAGTAGTTACAGTGTTAAAGGCCTGCTTTAGTAGTACACGCTGGGGGACAGTTCTAAGGGATAGCATGATGATGGTTTTTAATACTTTTAGATAGTGTTTGGGCCAGGTATATTCAATTTTGATTGATCTGGGAAACACCAGACTCTGGCTTGCTACAGGTTCCACCTAGGTGGAAAAGGGCATTTAGAAAGACAGCTGAGGAGTTCACAGTAAGCTGATTAGGGTGCAATCCTATGCATGTTTAGACAGAAAAAGGCCCTGCAATTCCCAGCATTCCCCAGCCAGCATGTTGGGGGTTGGAGGGCCTTATTCTCCAACACCCATAGATGTTATGCCAGTGTGCTGCCTAAAGATCTTACTAAAAGAAAATTGCACAAGCAGGCATTAAAAACCAGATAAACTGTCCAAGTAGCTGAACAGAACAAGGATGCTGGCATCGAGACTGCATCCAAGAGCGGGACTTGACTGTGGGTATATCTCCCTGGGATGGAGGTTTAGGAATTTGGCCTGAGGTAAAAGAAGTAATTAAGAGGCTTGTATTAGTAACAGTGTCTCTTGTGTTCCTAAGAAGTGTCATCAAGCATTCCTTTGAAATCCACAAAGTAAGGATTAGTATTCCCTTATGCATAAACTATCCCTTTAATAAACAAACGTATTTATTAGTTCATCTCATCTCTAGTGGTGGCGGCCATATCACACCTAAGGTGCCTCATATCAAACTACCAGGAGATTTTAAAGAATTCTCAGAGAATGCGAGCAGAAAAGAGTCAACTTATAGAACTCTGAATCATGCTGTCAGGGTCTTCCTTAAGCCCTGAAATATAAACATTGTTAAAAAAAAAGAACCCAAAAAACAAAAACCTGAAACCATACAGATAGGACTGTGAAGTGAAAGTGCAGCTTTTCCATGAAGCCCAACTGAAAATACTAATTTGATCTTTCAAATTGCTAAATCCTGGGCCCAAGGTGCATTTTCACAAATGAAACTTCAAGATCTTTACCTCTGTATACAGTCACAATCAAAACAATTCCATGTACATGATTTTAATGTTGGGCTAGCTAATTAACAGCCTGGCAATACAGACAGGGAACCATTACAGTACGAAATGTAGAGGACACATCACATTTGTGTCTGACTGTTCCAATACGATAAAAGACCTTGGACAAGGCACCAAAAAATCTACAAAAAGGAAGGAGGCACAGGTGGCATAGTAATATACGATCTGATGAAGTGGCTGTTAGCAGGAATCAAGAGAACATGCCAGAAACAAACAGCACCCACCAGAGACTGTTCCGAGGACGGGCAGGGGAAAACGTGCTGGTGAGAGCACATGCACAACAGAAAATCAGTGGGAAGCAGAGTGCACATGCACCAAATCAACACAGAAGTCTCAAAAGGAGATGGGAGGGGGAATATAATCCCCTTCCCACGCACCCCCCCCCCAAGAGAAAAAGGCGACGGGGGAGCAAGGGATGCATATATACTATCGCAACTGACAATAATCGAGAAGGCAACAGCCGAAAGAGAAATCAGAGAATACCAGAAGAATATCATGAGAACAAATGCAGGTTCCACTGAAACCAGGAGGAGTTTTGCCTGCAAAACTGGAACCGCGCCCACAAAAGGGCTTCGGGGAGGGAGCGCGCACAGAAGATGTAGAGGGAGGCGGACGAGGCGTTCAGGAGGCTGATTTCTTCCTCGCCCGATCCTGAATATAACACTCTGTCTTCCGGTCTTCTTCCTGAATATAAGCTACCCTGAACTCCATTGTTTCAAAGGAAAGGGGAGTGATTCTTGGCCTCTTTTCCCGTGCCTTTGCAAAGACGAGCGGGAAGAGCGAGCAGAGCGCCGCGGGCCTCCGGGAAGTTAACGGAGCCCAGGGAAGCTGAGGCCTGGCCCCCACCCTTAGCCTCGGGGCGGGCGCCTCCCCGTTTTACCTTGCGGAGATAGCTGGCCACCACCTGCTCGAAGGGGTATCGGTACACCTTGTGCGCCTCCACGGTCACGCCCATGGTGGGAGCAGAGCCGCGCGGCCGCCCCTTCTGCAAACTTGTTCCTAAACTGCGGCGGCGCCCGCCCGTCCGCCGATGCTCGCCCAGCGCAGGCTCTGGCGCCCCCTCGCCTCCCCCTCCCCTTGCTGCACCATCACCCGCCGCCCGAGCAGCGTAAAGCTGCACAGCGGGATCGCCCGCCTGGCCTGCCGAGAAACGCCTTCCTAGGTCACAATGTAAACGCAGCCAGAGCACAACGCGGGCGGCGGCGGGAGCAGCTTGGTCTCATAGGTGGGGAGAGCGAGCGGGGAGGCTTTGAAGGCGGCAAGCAGTGGACTGAGGGCGCGTCTGCTTCGCAGCGCAGCCCAACGGTGCGTGCTCGCTTTGGGTAGCCGTGACTAAATAATGGCAGGACACGGTGACATGGACACGCTCGTGATCGCACAGAGCGAGGCCAGCAGCCCCGCCGCACGACCTTTTTCACGCGCACAGAATTGCTCCCCTTCGGAAACTGGACGGCGATCGAACGGAAGAAGTACCCACTCGGAGCCCAGTGACGTCACCGCCCCCGCCCACGTGTCTCCAGCCGAGCCTCCTCCCCATCCCGCCGGCTGCAGTTTGACGGGTCAAAGTTTGCTCGGCGGCTTCTGCAGGGATGCAGTACACGCCCCTGGGGTCATGTCAACGGAAATGTGGCTTTAAAAGTAGCCATCGTGTCCCATTTCCTGCAAGCAGCGTGGGAAGCGAAAGGGATCCACGCTGAGACAAAAGCGCCTTTTTCTGCGGGGTAATCCTTTACCCAAAATCCCAGTTGGAACTTACTCCCAGGGAAATCTGTATGTTGTTATTATTGCTATGATTTTTTCTTATTTTTCTATACAGCCCCAAAGCTGAAGCTGTCTAGGTGGTTCACAGCAATTTATTGCCTTATTTATCTTTACCACCCAACTGGCAAATGAGCACTGGATGGTTTGCAATCATAAAAGAAAGCATAAAATGAGCAGCAAGATAGTAATGAAAATATAACAATACTGAAAATACTGTTGAAGTGCTAACAATAAAATTAATCAGCGAAAGAGATTAAAGAGTAAACACCTGCTGGAAGAAGGTCTCAATCTGGTGTCTAAATGTATACAATGAAGAAGCCTTAGGCAGCAGTTCCACACACAGAGAAATTGGAAGTTGGCAACTTCCATCTTGCAGTCTTACTCTTGAGCATGCATGTGAGATCTAGTGGAATATGTATGAGTCCTCACCTTTAGAAGAGAGTAGTGAAGTCGCTCTGGTTGTATCCAATTAAGATTCAGTGAAGAAGGAATATGTAGCAAATGGATAATGCCTTGCAGTACAGAATACATCAATGCACCCTATGATCTGCTGATATGTGCAGATCGCTTTCCATTTGCTTTCCAGTCTTTGTAACCATAGTATGATCGCCTGTGACAACATTGTGATGTCCCAGAAAGCAGGTGTCCCTGCTTATTATGTGTAAGCTGAATTTTAGACCCTGGAATTTCAGGTGAAACCCCCTCCCATGACAGCTTCTATATGCAAATACATTAAAAGAAATAAATTCTTCCAAAATAACAAAACACAGTTTTAGGGTAAGAACCAGCAATAATATTAGAAATAATGGGAACGGGGATTCTGAAAAGACTGCCCCACGGCCACCAAGCTCATTCTCTTAAGTGGGCACATAAGTAGAGAGCCTCAGACATCAAACTCCGGAATGCAAGCAGGCTTGTGCGGCAGATAATGCACGTTTCGCTGAAGGCCCATCCTTGAGTAGTTCTCTTCAGGTAACTCCCCATATTCAAATAGTGAGTTTCTGCCAGTATGAGTATCTCACTGCTTCATCACTAGCCTCCAGGATCTACCTATCTTGGCTATTGAGAAGAAGGTAAGAGTAGCCCACCAGCCAACTATTTTCCGGGTGTAAAATATGACACTGGGCTGTGTCAACTACTGAGTAGTACCAGTTCTGCTGCATCAAGCTGTGATCTCAGCCTTTGAAGCCAAAAACCCTTAGAGCAGAGGAGTGGAAGCCGCATCTGACATTGCGGTGCCCACTCTTCCCTTTCTGTCTGAAGCCATGCCTGCAGCCGACAGCAGTGCTCTATCAGCAACACACACTTCTTGAACTTTTTGGCACCCAAGTGGAAATTGCAATCCCAGGCAATTAACTCATTGTGGGGACAAGTGCATACTGGCCTCAAAGGATCACACGCATTACATATTGTATCACAGCATCTTTTTGCTTGCATTTAGCTCTGGAATGAATCCAAAAGTTATCAGAAATATGATCCCTATTAGCCATGTTTGGAAGTGAGTTTAGTCATCATGTAGTCAGAGTGGCACCACATACGTGCAAGAGGAAAGTAGCAGCAGGCTCAGGGCAATTGCCACCGAAGTATGAAACATCTTTAGTGTGGGAAACAACCCAATAGGGACTGAGCGTGCTGAACGGCAGGAGAGGAAAACTGGAGAGAAATGGAGCAGAGATGACTGACTGGAACCCTCAGCAGAATCTACCACACCAGACCACTTACTACAAGGGGCGTTCAATGTATTCTCGGTATCGGGTTGATTTGCTATCGATGTGGGTAATTTAATTATTTCATTAGCTAATGACACTACCTGAGGGTATACATGCAAAATTTCAAATAAGTGTGATCATTCGTTCCCTAGTAATCCTCAGTGAAAGATGACCATGATGACTGACGCAACAATGTTGAAGAAAATCGAGCACCGCGCTGTGATTAAGTTCCTTACAAAACAAGGAAAAAGTCAAAAAAATCATTCATGAAGAGATGGTGGCCGTTTACCAGGACTCTGCACCTTCATTATCTACTGTTCAAAAGTGGTCAAGTGAATTTAAAAGGGGAAGAGAAAGCATTGAAGACAACCCTCGCTTGGGCGGGCCGGTTACTGCCACTATGAAAGAAAATGTGAAAAAAATTGAGAAACTTGTATTGGAGGATACCTGAATAAAAATCAAAATGTTAGCAGAGATGACAAACCTATCCGTTGGTACCATATTTACTATTTTTCATGACCATCTTAACCTTTCAAAGGTCTGTGCAAGATGGGTGCCGCAAATGCTCATGGCGCCTCAGAAACAAGTGCGAGTCGAGTGCTGTAGGGAGTTTTTAGAGCTCTGTGCTGAAGATCCATCGAGTATTTTTGACCGGATTGTTACTGGAGATGAAACTTGGGTTCATCACTATGACCCTGAAAGTAAGCAGGAGTCCATGCAGTGGGATAGAAAAGGTGCTGACCCTCCAAAGAAATTCAAAGTCACTCTATCAGCCAGAAAAATAATGGCCAAAGTGATCATGGTCACAAAGGGAATTTTATTGATTGAGTACACGAAAAAAGGTGAAACCATAAATGCAGCATCTTACACAACCACTCTGTGTAATTTAAGAGAAGCAATTAAAGAAAAAAGGCAGGGAAAACTGACCGCAGGTGTGTTGCTTTTTCACGACAAAGCACCTGTTTCGAAGGCTGCTGTGCGAGACTGTGGTTTCAAAGAAATAAACCACCCACCCTATAGCCCAGACCTGGCCCCCAGTGACTACTACCTATTCCTGAATTTTAAAAAAGATCTTCATGGAAAGCGATTTTCTGACGATGATGAGCTCAAGGCGGCAATTAATGCACATTTTTAGACAAGGAGGAAGGGGTTTTTTTACAGGGAATTGAAAAGTTAATTTCTAGATGTAGTAAGTGTATTGAAGTTACGGGGGATTACATTGAAAAATAAAAATTATTTCAATTTATTATTCCTTTTTCTTCATGCTGGTACTGATAATACATTGAACGCCCCTCGTACACTGCAGTGTTCTCTTGTGAACGTTGACATTGCCTTCCCTGCATTGGGCATTCCACTATTGCTCCCCACTTTTAGCCTTACTAGTGCCTTTCTGGTAGGAAAAGGATCTTTCTGGGCCATCTTCATTGTCCCACCCTGACATCTTGCTTTAGAGATGTTAGATGCTTTCAGTGAGTTAAGTGCTCCAAGCAAGAATTAGATGTGACATGCAAGTCACATGTTTGTTTTCTTTGTGTGTGTTATTGTTGCTGTTGCTGCTGTTGTTGTAGTTTTCCCTTTTTATTTTACTCAGCAAGCACAAGAAGTTGCAATCTTAACTCCAGGTCTGGGAAGTGGATTAAGCACTGCTTAGCTCAAAACCACCTACGCCCAGAGCTGCCTTTCCACACCTAGCGAAAAAGATACAGGCAAGGTGTTTTGCATCGTTAATGGGTGTGGGATTGCTGGGCTTTCGCTACAGTCAGCAGTTCCTTGCCATGCAAATAGCAGGTGAGTCATAGAAGCAGAATCAGTATTATCAGAGCTCCATTCTTCACCCAACTAGCAAGACTCACCAGGACAAGTGCTGGGCTTATGGAGGCAAAGCTTGAATACTGTAATAATATAGGCAAAGGAGGAGAGCAGAGGATGCAATGGGGACATTTGGCCCTTTTGAGGGGTAGCCCCGTCAAAGCAGCAACAAGGGTAGCCTTAAAGCTGAAGGGTGCCGTTCCTTCCACTCCTTGACAAAATTGGAGGTTTTTAGGGATGTATGGGAATTTCATTCCACTTGCACAAGTAGGCTCCAGCACAAGTGCAAAATTGTGCAGCCCCTCCCCCATTAAACAAACAACAATCCCACAGGTCCATACAACTCAAACAAAGCAGTTGTGCTGTGGAATCCACAGATCAGGCTCATGGAAATCTGAACTCATTTCAATCCATGGAGCAGTCCTTCAAGGTATTTCTTTATTTGGGTATTTTTATCCTGTCCAATTACAACACATCTGCTTACAAACAGGACCTTACAAACAAGGTTCTGACAACAGTCTCGGCGGTGACGTGAAAATTGTACACGCAGAACTATCCAGTGGTGAAACTGTTCACTACTGACCTAGATGGACGAAAAGGTAACCTCTGAAGCAGCGCCCAATACATGCGCTAGCCATGCTCTATCAACATTCAAAGCCTTTATGGAATGCGTTTTTTAGGACTGAAAAATCTTATGCGCGTACATGAGGACATTTACAAGATGATCTTCAAAATAGTTCTTGTGTCAATGAGACACACACTGGTGAATGTCAACATTACAGAATCTAGGCAGGTCTTAGAAATATGATGGTATTAGGACTATTAATGCAGCTGTTCCAGAGAAACTGTCTAATAGATACATCCCAAAACACACACTTGGCCATAAATTAGTCCAGCTACACTTGCAGCCTCAGCAATGTGTGAGAAATCTCTAGGCTCATCAAGAGCCTTAGAGCTCATATACAAGCAAAGCCAGCACTGACATTACCAGAGTTACAATAAGCTAAAGCTACAGGCTTTGGGAGAAAGCTCTCTCATTGGCCTCCTTATTTGTAACAGTTCTGGTGCTGCAAATGGTAGCATGCTAAGTATTCAGCACTGCTTCTTCATCTGAGCTAATTAGAGTTCATGGTTTAGAAATTACAACTGGGGATTCATTTTAAAGAACATGAGCTCCATTTGTTAACAACCAAATCCTAGGAGAGGTAGAGTTTCCCCATTAACATCAGTAGCAGCTCTCTGAATAAGGCCATAAAACACAGTCTCCCTTTTTGTCCAGTTTCACTGGTATTTTGTTTTTGCTTTTTTCTCCTTTTCTTCATTAGTGTTTAGAATTAGGAAATGCTGTCTAAATCATAGAACAGAAGGAAACAGAGTTCTCTAATAACTGTAAATTTGAAATGAGACCAATCTGCAGAAAAAGCCATGCACCACTGGAGGGATAAATGTACAGCTAATTGCAAAATGGTATGTGAATTGAAAATGCCATGAATGTTTTGCTAGGCAACTGAAAGTGCAATCATACAACATCTTACTATTTATTTCAGGACCAACCTCTTGTTATCAGCCATAACAGTTTAAGGACTGGTGTGTCCCTATTCTAGCAAGCTGCAGAAGGATAATTAATTTCTGCCCTACAGTACTCATAACCTAAAACAAAGAAATTCAAGACATTATAAACACAGCATTTGAGAAATGTGCTCAAGAGCTCTCTGTCTGTCTGTCTAATAGATACACAACTCTGGGGAAGAGGTATGGAACAGCATGGGATGCTTTCTATGGAGAAGAGCCCAAATTCTCCAGAAGTGCCCAAAAACTTTTCCCTCTTACTTGTTGCCTCATTGGGACCTGTGCATAGTGGTGGCATAGTGAGCAATCAGTGCTGCTGCTTCCATTAAAGCAGTTTAGAATTCCCAATGTGCAACCAGAGAGTAAGAATTAAAGAATAAGAACCCATAATGGGATTAAAGCAAAGTCCATATGACATTTTATTGATTTCACTTGAAGACGGAAGCTTAAATCTCCTCCATTGAAATTGGTGAGACTCAAGGATAGCTTTCCTGGGCAGATCATGGCCTGATTTGTTAACGAACTTACAGAAAGCAGCATCACTCTTAATGCCATGGGACATTAACATTAAAGTGTTCTCTAGTTGAGCTGCTCCTTAAGAGGCAGAGGTTCAGAACCTCAGGCCAGGGGCCAAATCTGGCAGTCCAGCTGTCCCAGTCTGGTCCTCTGAGCTCCCCTTGGAGACCACAGCCTCTGTGCATGGCCCCACTCCTTTCCCCCATCCACAGACCTTAGTCATTTCCCAGCTTTTGTGCAGAATTTCCCCTAGTCTGAGGGAGTCATCCTATGGTGATGGCCATACTCAGGAGGCATCCAGTGTAGAGTGGGAGGAAGCCATTGCAGCCCCTCCATCCCCCCCCTCCCCACTGTGCATTTTCACACCTTTTGGCCCATCACCTGGAGCAGGAAGGCAGGCATCAGCATGGCTTGCTGTCTGGCCTCCCTGCCCCATCCCTGGCACCCTTGCACAAGGCTGCTTTGCTGAGCAGAGGGATCAGCTGGTGCAGTTCTTCCTGTATCAGCTGCAAGGGGGAGGGAGCACAGCTTTCATTCCCAGCTCTAGGGTTCAAGCACAGTTTCCAATCCTGAGCCAGAAATCTAAACAAATCCCATGATCCTTCAAATGCTTTCTGGGGATCATAGGATCACTCCCCAAGAGACTGGGATGCCTCTCCTAAGGCTTATGAACTGGGACCATGACCTTCAAGCTGGAACAAGCAGGGGTGAGGGCACAGCCCTGTCCCATTTGCCTTCTGCCATACCCAGCACTGTAGTGCGAACCTCAAAAGCGTCTTCAAAGTAGATGTTGGCCCTGAAGATTTAAAAGGATGTGTACTCTTGTTGCAAGGATCTGCCTTCTGTTGACAGAAATTCTCCACTCACAGAAGGTACCTCTTCTTGATTTGGGAGGAATCTTCCCTTCCCAGCCTGTACCAGACCTCGCCCCGTTCAATAAAATCCCCAAAGGCTCTATGTAGTGTTTTTAGGGGCTGTGACTATCACAAGACTGTCATGAGAAGCAGCAGGCAGGGAAGTCTTTTTCTACCAGCCCAGTTGCATGTGCCCAAATCCGAACCCATCCCATTCTATCCTAACCAAAGGGTTAAGGACATAACAGATGCAGAATACTCAGAACGGTACAAAGACATAAATCATTTGGAAGATTCTTTTCCTACAGAGAGCATACAAATAATTGAAGTCAAGAGAAGCCAGATAGCAGGTACAGTCACTGAACACAGGTCTGGCAAGGCTGCTGGCCATTTTCATTGCAAGCAGGGCATCTTAGGGCTCGGTAGGACTCTTTAAACCGGTTAGCCAGCATTGAAAACTTGCTTCCATGGCACACGGAGCAGGGTGCACAGCCAGATCCCTTACACTGGGGACAGCTGTTCTCATCCTCGCCTTCCTGAAACAGAAAGGACCAATCAAAACAAGCTCCTTCATTCTGCTTCACATAATCCTTTAGCCCAGAGAGTGGGCAGCACGGTCTTCCAGATGTCAGTGGACAGCAGTTCCCATCAGCCCCACCTACACAGGCCCCATTTCTAGCCAAACTGATTCCAATTAGCAGGAAAAATTCCTCTAGCATATGATGGTTCCTGGGGATTGGATACTTTACTTTTCTATTTGCTTGATTCATAATTTGCTAATATCCATTCCTTTCTGTGATCCAAGTCCCTTGCCAATCTTTCCCCAACCCATTTCTTGTAGAAATTATGCACAATAAATGAATGTGCATGTTGTTCATTTGCTTACTCCCAATTCCAGAATTGAAATACTGCTCATACATAATATACACATTCCTGCCTTTAAAGGACAGAATCATTGACTGTAGAAATGTTCATTTATGCTCTGGAAAAGGTTCATTAAACCTGGATTTCTGACAAACCTCCCCTTCCAGAATCTGCCAAATCGGCCAGAATCCAAAGCTCAATGGTTACTGCGAGCACAGTAAGGGATCTCTAAGTTGGAGCAGAGTTTTTCTGTACTGATGAAGTCTGCTAATCTCATTGAGCTTCCTCAGAGTAAGAGATTTCTGCACATGTGCAGTGAGACCTATCACATTGTACAAGCTTCTACAACCATAGATCCCATGCTGATTCATTAACACTGTGATAGAGTTTGGCCAAGAGATTTCCCTTCACACATGGATTGGGAACGGGCAAATTGATGTCTTCCAGAACTTTTCAGCTGCAACTCCCATAAACTCTAGTCACCATGACCAATGGTCAAATTAGGGAAATTATGTTCTAAAGCATCTGCCTACCTCTGCTGTAGACTCAGATTAAGTAAACCTGTCTCAGGTCTTTCTTTAACTGGCTCTTAGATACATGGATCAAAAAGTCACTGTGACAGCCCATCAACAATTAGACCACACCAAAGTCATTGCTCAATTTCCATAATTCTACCAGCTTCAGCTAGTGGCCCAGCTACAGCCTTATCTGGGCAGGGGTAGCCTGGTTTCAGTCATCTGTACTCAGTGTACTCTATGTGGGGCTGCTCTTGAAGACAGTTCAGAAGTTGCAGCTCATGCAGAATGTGGAAGTCAGGTTAATAACTGGGACCCAAAGGGCCAAACACATAAGACCAGTTCTTGCTCATTGGCATGTCTGCCCTTATCCATCCTGGCCCAACTCAAGGTGCTGGTTTCAGCCTATAAAACCTTACCCAGCCTGGAATCTCAATACATGTTAGAGCACCTCACCCAATCACAATGTACTTGGGGTGCTGCATTCAACCTCTGGGCCCTTCCTCCAAGTGCCAACTCCAAAGGAATCAAGTGCCAACTTGGATGGAGGCAGAGGGGGTAATGCCCCCTCTATGGAACAGCCTCCCCAGTGCAGCCTGCCTGGCACTGGGCTTATAACCTTTTTGGTGCCAGGTTAAGACAGACCTTTATGCCCAGGCCTGTAAAGATTAGTTTGATTGCCCAGGGAATTGAGGGGATTCCTGTGCCAGGTGTTTTCCTTTTAAAGGTATTTTAGCTGTTTTCAATTTTTTAAGATGTTTTGATTTTATGATATTTGTATTGCATTGTATTGTTTTGTTTTTCATGGATCACTGTAAAGCACTCAGAGAACTTTGGCTATGGGGCAGGATCTAAATGAAATAAGTTTATAAATAAAAGTTAGAATAATGGCCTGGTGGTTTTTGCCTTTTCAAACATGTTCCTCTGATTTGTTCAAACTTTATGATATCACATGTTGTGGGGCAGGGGGAGATGAGTTCAAAAGCTGATGAGATTTGATTTCAAGAATATAACAGGCTGGTAGGTGGACAGGTTAGAAGGGGTATAGAGTTCAGCTCCCTTGAGCTATTTTGCTAGAAAAAGAAACAAAGAGTAATAAGAATGGGTGGAGAATATGGAAGCACTGTCCTCTCACACATAATCTGGTAATTTCATTGAAGATCTAGGATTCAGAGCATTATGTCTGTAGAAAACACATTTCTCACCAGCCTCACTGTTTTGATAAACAACCTGGAATTTGTGGGGGCACTTGTCTGGGAGGGACAGTTTAATCAGTGGGCACACCTAGGCAAGTGCCCACGGTGCCACTTAGAAGAGGAGATCAGTATCCACCTGGCTTAGAATATGCAAATGAGATGGCATGGCATGCTCAGTAAACAAACAAAGTAAAAGAAATTTCTCATCCTGATTTTTAGCTGGAAATGGCACAGGCCTCGGGCTTAATAGCCTACATACCACCTACCTCAGGGAGGCAAGATGGCTGGTTTAAAGACAGTGTACCTGGGACAGCCCAGTCACATCCACAAACGATATACAGTCTTCCTCAGTGTCTGTATTTCTCCAGGTAAGTTTCTACCACCTACATGGCTTGACCTCTCCCCGCCCCCTGTAGACGCACACAGCTAGAAGAAAAGAAGAAGCAATCTCCCCATCCAGAACCTTTCCTCCCTCCCACGACAGGAAGGGAGAAGGAGGATGGCAAAAGGAGTAAGGTGAGCACTGGGCTGGCCAAGGGATGCTTCCCAGCAGAGCCGGCCCTGCCATTAGGCAGAGTGGGGGAGCTCCCTCAGGGAGCAGAAGCTGCAGGCTGGAACAGAGCAGTGGCCAAGTGTTGGCGGATCGACTTTTGTGTGCCGTGAAGTCCGCAAGGCCCTGTAAGAGCACGTACTGCCCTCAGGCACAGGGGAGGCAGTGCCAGTATAAATTCCCCCAGCTGTCTGGGGCAGAGAGCACGCTTCTTCCACCACACACCCCAGCTACCACCGGCATCCCCACCCCTTTTGAAACCCTTGCTTTTCTCCCTGCTCCTGTGGCTGCTAGCACCACCACCGTGCACCTGCCCATCTAACTCCACCCACCGCACCTTGCCTTCCCTGTGAGGGGTCCTTCCAGCAGAGGTGACCCAGGAGATCGCCTGTGCTTGGGCATAGCTTTTCAGGACTCTGGCCAAACCCATCTTCTCTGGAGAGCCTCCCACCCTCCAGCTCACACCCTCCAGCTCACACTCCCAGCACCAGCCAGCGGGCAGTGGCAGCGTTCAGGCACCTCTGCTCTGTTTGTTCTTAGGATCTGCTCAGAATGAAGCAGAGGGTGGGTGGGAATAGCCAGCAGGCCTCTGGGGCAGAGGACACTGTTTGCTGTCCCTCCTACAACACCACCTGAGGTCAGGGATTCACCTCACCTAATGGGAAGGCTGGCCCCAAGGCACTCTGCTGCCCTGTCAGGACTGCGGAGGTTAAATGCAACTGCTGGTGCGGTCGGCTTCTCGGTGTGGAATGGAGAGCTGCGAGGACAGGGCCTCCTGTGTGCTGTCCCAGGCAGAATGTGATTCCCAGTGAGTCGGATCCAATATTATGTATTTGCCTGCACATGTTAACTAGGCAGGGAAAGAACAACCATTCCTGTGTCTCAAGGCCTCTGTGTGCTGCCTGCCGCGCACCTGGCTTTGTTAAGGTCTGTTCGAACAAACAGGGAACAGAATGGATGGCTGTGGCAAGCACACAAAAGAGACCAGTTGTCTTGCCATCTGTGTGTGCAGAAGGGGCCCCATGTGCCAGAGCTGCACATGCAACATCATGCTTTAAAGGGATACGGCACAGGATAATTAGGCCTCCTTTCAATGCTTCTGTGTACGTTTGTGTGTGCTGTAGTTGCAAAACTGGTGCAACTGTGAGTTCCTCCCATGTGTGCAGATTTTAGTGAAACATTTGACAGCAGTTGGAAATATGCAAGACAAGTTAATGCATTCTGAGGGTCATCTAGATCATTATTGCTTCTGATGGGGCAACTTATCTCACCTTATCACTTTAGGCTCAAATGCCATTAACATAGAAAGCTTGCCAGGGAAAGCTCTTGAAAGTTCATTGGTCCTTATCAGGCCAGGGGGCAGTGGGGAGGCACAGACTAATCCTTGTGTTTTTCCCTTTAAAATTTTAAATGTGTGTACATTAGCCTGCATTATTACCTTTTCTGCTGCTACCTGTTACCTTTCTGCTCCAGATGGAGAGGGACTAAACCACCACATTCTTTATTAGAGGGGATGGTGATGTATTAATGATTGGGGTTCTGGCCACAGTGGGTGAATCTTGAATAAGAGAGAAGGAAGCATCTTGGCTTACCTGCACATGCTGGTTGAGCTGGAGTTGCTTTTCAGTATCTTTCATGTTCCCATCGTGTTGGCTGCTACCGTTTCCTCTTCTTTCTTCATGATGCACAAAGGAGCAGTCATCCATGCCTTCGTTCTGCATGATCTTTTTCACCAATTCTTTCTTAGTCATGGGTGTTCGGATTATTTTCAGGTTGCTAGTATAGATGATAATCTTCCCAAAATCTAAAATGGGGGATTGCTAAAATGGAATGGGGCACTGATAAGTCGAGAAGAGCTAAAAGACCAACAACCAGCTTGACAAGCTGCGACCAGTGCTCAAGGCTTACAAGCTTGCTTTCTGGCAAAGCTAGGGATGTATGAGAAATTCACTTCAGTTTCGTTGCATCAGTTCATATGAATGCTTCCAAAATTATGTGAGATTAATTTTTCTAGGTTGATTACTCTTATGAAAACTGAAATCAGCAACTGTCAAAAATCTTTGGAAGTTAGTAGCATCATTTCTCTTGTTTCCATTTAAGCAAATTTACATTCAAACATACCTCTGTTATAGAAGAGAGAAGACAAGAGTGTCTGGTTTACTATATATTTAATAAAGGGGTATCCTGGTGAGTGGGAAGCAGAAGAAACAGGAAAGGAGCAGCAGACCAGAGAGCTGCCTTTCCTCCCTCTCCAAAACACCCTTACTAGATGGGTGGCAAAGCCTATTTGGCAAAACCAAGAGATGGCAGAGGATGAAAAGGCAAACATCAATTCCATGCCTCCTACGGCACTAACCTGGCAGAACACTGGAGCCTCGTGGGCTTCTGAAAGGTGAGGGTATATTTTCTAAAGCAGCTTAGAGTGTTTTATAAATTCTGCCATTCTTTTCTTTGCTATTCATTTTAAAACTCTCTCTGTGTTTGTGTACTTTATTACAGCGACTTTACCAAACTGGCCAATTTTTTCTTGTCTCCTATGTATCTGGGCAAAGGTTCCATTTATTATACAGGAAGAACTTCATTTTGCACCTTTTCCAGGACCTGTATCTAAACCTCATGGAACAGAAAAAATGTGTTCTTCTAAAAGGATAGCTTCTTGGCCAACTTGAGAACTGTATGCTGCATGAGGACTACATGTAACTTTCGTATTTGTCATTTTAAGTATGTCAACATTTCTATAATGGAAATTACGGCTTATGTAATTTGTGACCCAGCAAGCAGAAAGTGGGCCACTAGCTATATAATGTGGCTTTCTAAGTGTTTAATCCACCCTGGTGTTTCTATTCTATTCTATTCTGGTCCCAGAACAGGCAACAAAATGGGAAGTTTAGTTCCAGATTGTGTGCTCTGACTGGCAGTAGTTCTCCAAGCAGAGCTCTTTGTTTTGCTTCACCTCCTCCTGTATCCCCTTAACTAACACTACCAATGATCCATAATAATACCATCTACAATTTTGCTAACTTTCTTCTCAGAATTGTCCATACATGGAAGCACTGGAAATATTACTATAAAGCTAGTTAGCAAATACAATGTACATTAACAGTTACAGGCAGCCAACTGAGCTTATGCTAAACATCTCTCCATTCACTTAAAAAGCTCAAATGTCTTGAGTCAGCAGAACCAAGTAGCATTACTTACTGTCTGAGAATCCTCTTCCTGGTAGTCATTCAAGATGGAAGGGCTACCTGTGAGGGTATATTTGTTCCCCTCTCTGAATACACTGATCCTTTGTGCATTCAGTTTAGCTGGTGGAGAAAACCTGGATTCAGATGCTTCTCCAATCCCAAAGAAATTGTCTCTGGGTTCAAAATTCAAGTGTCGAAAACTATGAGGATATTCTGCCTGAGGCATTTCAAGCTCCTGCCCATCTTCATAGACCTGCTTCAAGAGTCGACCACTGTATGCTGACGAAATTTTGAATCTCACTTTTCGGGATCTTGCATCATGTCTCTGGCTTAGTTTCTTCTGAAGCTCATCCATGAGTATGGGGTTTTTCAGTGCTTTCCAGAAATTAGTTCAGCAAGGAAGGCTTTGGACTTATAAAAAAAAGCTGCACACTTGGGCAATGTATAATTCAAAGGTCCTATCAGACCCTCTCATGTTACAGTTTAAGAGGATACCTTGGTATTAAACATTGATAGAGCTTCATGAGAGGAAAGAATTGTTATGATGAAATGCAAACAGACATTTACTCAAGCAAACAGTGAATTAGTTGGTTTATAAAACATACAATTGCACTGTCTTGCAAAGGACAACATTGGAAGGGATTTATAGCCAGAAAAGAAGGAAGTACACATACAGGAGTGCATGTATTTTGCAGTGGTAGAAATAATTTCAAACACATAGTACCTACAGTTTTACTCAGTGGTTCTTCCCCCTTAAGTGAACTAAATGAGGACACAGCATGGTATTAAAGAAGAAATCTGCACTAAGCAAAATAATTCCTTGATTTTCTCACAAGAGACAGAAAGCGTTATGCAAGCTGATACCCATTTACCTGAGAATAAATACAAGAGGCCTCAGTTCTGAGTAGACATGTACAGAACTGTGGTGTAAGTCAACCTTATGCACAATGATTTCTGAGTGGGACCTGCTGAACACAATTAGATTTATCTTCTGAATAAACCTGCCTAGAGTGGGACAGGTGTGGGGAACATTAGGCACATGGGCCAGATTTGGGCCTCTTGGGGTCCCAGTGTGGGCCTCCAGGCTCTCCAGATGGCCACAGCCCCTTCTCCTAGTCCCACCATTTTTCCCACTACCACCAATTGTCTGACAGTTTCCTGGCTTGTGTGTAGTCTGTCCCCATTTTAAAAGGTTTAAAACTTAATTCCTGGCAGTAAGTTATAATCTACAATATGCCAGTTTTGTCTCCTTAGTATTATTGGCCCCACCACTCTTCTTACATTTATATCCCACCTTTCTAAAATGGAATTCAAAGTGGCATTTCCCAGCAATCTCACATCCAGACTTGGCCAAACCTAGACCTGCCTTTGTCCATCTGGCCCAGTATTGTCAGCATGGACTGGCACCAGCTCCCCAGGGCCTCAGGGAGAGGTTTTTCTGCCCTGCCTGAAGATGCCAGGGGTCAAACCTTGGACCTGCATGCAAAACAGATGCCCAGCCTCCCAACTATGGCCCCTCCAAGCACCATGGGTCTGGATGGTCATTTGAGAGACTGAATTTTTTGTTTGTTTGTTTAACATGCTCTCTCTCTCTCTCTCTCTCTCTCTCTCTCTCTCTCTCTCTCTCACACACACACACACACACACACACACACACACACACACAGAGTGTCTTCAGCTGGCATTGGTTATATCTGGCTGTTAAGAAACCCTGATCGACTCAAAGTATCTAGGAGGGGCAGGGAGGTTAAGCAAAATGCAAAACCTCATTTCCTATGTATGACAGCAAGGATTTAAACAAACATGCTTCCAAATTCAGAGTGACTGCTGAGGAAGCTTAGCTAGCTCCCCAAACAGAGTTTGGATGCTGTAAAATAGCAGAAGGCATGTCAAACAAATGCAGGTTCATCAAGAAGCCCCAGAGCATGCCTGAAAGAAAAAGTATCAGAAGAATTAATCATTTGTGTTGTAAGCCGCCCCGAGGCTTCGGCAAGGGGCGGCATAGAAATGTAATTATTATTATTATTATTATTATTATTATTATTATTATTATTATTATTTCTGCTTTTGTTCTTGTTCTTTTTTCAAATGTAGTGCCCAGTAGAAAACTCTTAAGCCTACAAAGCTAAACTTTCAGGGAGACTTTTATTCATCAGAAATATGAGAAACACATGAATGCTATTTCAACTCCTTCATACATTTTTGTAGGGCAGGATTCACTGGGCATGAAGGAGTGATTCTGACCGCTATGAGCTTGGAGTACAGACCATGTATTCTACTTTAGCGGAAGGAGTTCTAATGCCATCCTCCTACAACTCTCCCAGTGCAACAAAAATCACTATAGGTTTAGGAATCACGTATCTTGCAAAAGGTGGTTATCTCCCTTCAGTACAGAACCTACGAAGCCTTACACACCATGGGACCAACGTACCTGTCAGAGAGACGCAGGCAGCCATGATCTACTCAGACACGGTGCTCAACCTCTGAGCATCGTGTCTGAGTAGATCTGAGTGCCAGCCCCAAGGGAGGCGCAGACAGTGGCGAACACTGCTCTTCGTGGTGGCCCCTCATCTATGGAACAAGTTAAAATGGCTGGTATGCTAAGACCTGTAAAGGCTTTAACACATACAGCAGTTGTGCTTTCACAACTCTGAGGTGTTTCTTGTAACTTAGTCCCTAGAATTTTGAGAGCAGCAACATGGTTGCTGCCTGCTCTCCTAGCTCTGGCCAGCTTCCTGCTGCCTGCATACAACTTCCTGGAGGTAACTGGCAATCAATTCTGCAGCTAATGCTTAAGGCCAGATTGTACTAAACTGATTAAAAGGTTCCTCTCATATAAAAGTAAAACTAGAACAGAATCAGGTAATCCCCTTCCAAGAGGCCAGATATCCTGCCTAAAGTGTTACATTAAGATAGTCCTGTGCATTTTGAGGAAGGAACTGAAATCCACTTGTGAATCACACATTAAACTGCCCAGGAGAAGCCCTTGCTCCTGAGATAATCTAACATTTTGCTTGAGTGTTTCAGAAAAGACACATGGGTCTTTATTTCACCAGCATGACCTAGTGATGAAGGTATTGGACTGGGACTCAGGAGATTTGATTTTAGTCCCCACTTGGCCGTGAAACTCTGGGTGATTTTGGACCAGTCACTGTTTCTCAGCCTAACCTACCTTGCACAAAAATAAAGTGAATGAATAAATAAAACATTTCTGTTCAGTTAGAACTCTCCAGCCTTCCAACTCCTAGAACCTTGTGATGGTTTCGCTCAGTGAAATGACTGCTGGAAGCTCCATGAATAACAATGATCAGAAGTGAATCATGGTGTGTACTTTTTGGTGCATGTGAAATATCCATGCTGGTGAGCAGAAATTTCCTCCAAACAATAAACTATTTTGTAGCCATAATGGCAGAAAATCAATGAGGGAAAAAAGCCTTTCTCCTTTTTTCCCCTCTTGCATGGTAATCAAACCATCGATGAAGAAGAAAAGAGAAGAAAGATTTACAGCTCAGATTGCTACCTGAGAGGGAGCAGCTAATCTTGAAAGGAGCAGGGAAGACATGCAAGGTACCAAAGGAAGGGCAGTCAGAGGACAGCAGGGAGGTATGTCATCTCACTAGGGCTGCTGAAACAGTGAATGATGATTCAGGCAACTGAGTCTCATTTTGGAAGCAAAACAGAGTCTACAGAATACAGCAGAGGTTTAGAGAACACCTTAGACAAACCGTTCTATATTATGGAGAGGCTCCTTTGAGGGCACCTGGACCTACAGAGGTGTGTGTGTTAGGTACACGAGAAAGGGCCTTCCGCTTTGCCACTCCCAAGCTGTGGAATGTGCTTCTTCAAGAACTGCAATTGTCCCCCATTCTCTAGGCTCTGGGAAAGGATATGAAGGCATGTCTTTTGATTTAGCCTTTTAAATTACATGGTCATTTTCGTGTTCTGATGTTTTACTACTGTAGTGTTTCTTTGTTTTTACTGTTTTATGGCTTTATTTTTTCAACCGGTATGCACTGCCTGATGGCTCTTCAGCAAATAAAACAGAATATAATCAGCATCTACTTCCTCCTACAAACAGGAGAAGGGTGGGAATGAGGAAAGAAGAAGATGGCACACTGGAGCTGAGGCCCTGATGGAGCACAAGACATCAAACAACAGGTGAATCCCCATAGAGATGAATGAGGTGTCCCCAGGTAAACTCAACTCTTTTTAAAGTCCACCATCACCTCCCCTGATGGTCCACCTCCATGCTGTACATGGATTCTGGGCAGTTTCTGCCATGGGTAAGCCTGTGGAACATCCATAAGCTCCCCCTCTGAGTCGGAACCCTGTGCAACCATCTTATGGGGGAAAGCCTGCCTGGTTTCAGCAGGCCCCTCCATGGCAAACCTAAGTGGAAAATCATGGGGGCAGCCAAGGAGGGGATGGCACAAAGGCACCCAGAGGTCCCACCCCTACTCTTGTACATGGAGACCAGTGCCTGAGGGTGGCTGCATATCCATTGCCTGATGGGAATGGCAATCATCTGCTTGACATCCTGTTACATGTGGTCATTATGGGAGTTGCAGTCTCAACACATGTGGGGCACTGTGTTGGGGAAGGCTTTGTGACACCAATGGGAGATTCTTTTTGATCACCTCTAGGAAGGGCTTGTGCTTTAAAATTAGGATGCTCAGGACTTCATCCCGAGATGCTCTCAATCAGAAACCTGCTTGGCTCTTCCAACATGAGCAAAGTTACTGCTAAGGACTGCCCTCTGGATGTAAGAAGTACAGCAAATCTGGCAAGATCAGGTGGTTGGGGTTCGGTTCTACATGCATTCTATTACTCCACCCACATACTGTTGCCTACATGGCCACAATTCTGTGGGTCTGTTCTACTGCTTGCACAGTACTGCCTTCTCTCCCTCCTCCTCTCTCCGTGCCTCTTACATTCTCTGTGCAGACGGAGCCTGTGTGAATTTTCACATTCCTAAAGCAATGTATGGTCTGCCTGTTTTTCAGGTGTTTGCCCTCACAGAAGCATAAAAAGTAAGTTCACAGTTCCACAAAGACATATCCATACGGTATGTACCTCTTCTGGAACATATATTTATATGTACATCTGCTCACAGACAAATGCTGTTGTTTGGTGACTGCGTATCTCAACACTAGTTGGATTTGTAGTGCCACACTTCAGGCTGCCATTTCAGGCCAGAATAATGCTCTTTATAAGGTCTCTAGAGCCATCTTCTTGGACATTTTGCAGGGGGCTGGGTCAGGGACAAAGCAGGTGCAGATGAATCCACTATTATTGCTGCTTCAGTGAGGAAAAACACTCCCAAATTACACTCTTCAGGCAAGTGGAACAATTGCT